GTAATGCCTCTGGATTAGTGAATTTTTTAATGTGGATTATCCACATAAAATCTTTTGGAGGTATTATGAATATAACACAATTTTGCTGTCAGTGTAGTATTTAACTGCATCAGGCTCAAAATCCATTTCAGAATCAGTTCTCCTAGCTCAGTGGTGGGCAACCTTTTTTTTCAACTGAGCCAAATCTCGCCAAAACCACAATTGAAATTTATTTTGAGAGCCACATTTTTAAAACTGAAAATACATACGATGGTACACTGTTTTTAGTTTCAATAAGTTTTTATAGTAATTCATCCCCCATAGTAATTCATCCCCCATAGTAATTCATCCCCCATATAGTAATTCATCCCCCATATAGTAATTCATCCCCCATAGTAATTCATCCCCCATATAGTAATTCATCCCCCATAGTAATTCATCCCCCATAGTAATTCATCCCCCATATAGTAATTCATCCCCCATATAGTAATTCATCCCCCATAGTAATTCATCCCCCATATAGTAATTCATCCCCCATATAGTAATTCATCCCCCATATAGTAATTCATCCCCCATAGTAATTCATCCCCCATATAGTAATTAATCCCCCATAGTAATTCATCCCCCATATAGTAATTCATCCCCCATAGTAATTCATCCCCCATATAGTAATTCATCCCCCCTATAGTAATTCATCCCCCATAGTAATTCATCCCCCATATTAATTCATCCCTCATATAGTAGTAGTAAGTAAGTAGCAAGTAGTAAGCCAAGTCCCCCCTGTGTCAATTCACTTACCTTTGCTCCGCGCGTTCCTCTCGCCGTGTTCCCGCGCCGTTCCGGTCTTCAGGGCGGACTGTGAGAGGAGCCTAGCTCCTCTCACGTTCGTCACGCTGCCCCGCCTACACACATCCTGACAGCCAATCACTGGCTATCAGGATGTGAGTGGCAGCGAGACTGGCCAATCATTGCATTTGAGTGCGCTGCCCTGGCTGTTTTTTTTTTTGGATCACGCTGCAGAGTCCCTGCCGCCAGAGAGGAGGGAGGGGAGCGGGCGCCCGGCACACAAGAGCCGCATTAAAGCATGTAAAGAGCCGCATGTGGCTCACGAGCCGCGGCTTGCCGACCACTGTCCTAGCTCAACTGACAAAACAGCTGAACATAACTCTAAACGTGGCACCGTGTGGACTGGTCTTGGAGCTAGTTTAGATTTGCCCATAATAAAACCTACATGACATTGACCATTGCTGTCTATGACCCTGAGATACACTACAGCTGCTTTCACCACAGTAAGAGCATCAGAAAAGTCACATACTTACTTTGTAGATGAAAGCAACACTGGCACATAGGGTCTGGGAATACTGAGATCTTCAAGATAAACCAAGTCTTCTGCCCATGTTCTCTACTGAATTTCTGTTTCGGGCAAGTGTGGGGAATCCCAGTCACATTGATCTATTGAGAGTTCTCTAACAAGGGCTTTACCTTGCATAGTGATCGGGACTGCAAACCCAAGTGCGTCATAAAGACTGTTTACTGTGGCTAGGATACCACTCTACAGGGGTGGACACTCGTGCACTGCCCAAGGGCCCAGGGTCAGTAGGAGGCCCCATGAGATGCCCCTGGTACCTTTTTCATAGTTTTTTTTTGAGTTTGGGCAAGGACACAGGGGCCCCATGATTCCCTATTGCCTGGGGGCCCCATGAGTTGTCAGTCCGCCCCTGCCACTCCATGTTTATGGCTTCACCTCTTTGGACACTGGAAAGGTACAACTGTTTGTCTGGAGATTCTAACTTACTCCTAAACTCTGTTGAAGGGTTAGATGATCGACACCTACAAAGTACTTTAACTCTTTAGCTCTGTTATCTGTAGGAAACGCTTAGTGAGCTTCTATTGGACGCTACCTTGTGTAGCTTAAGATTAGATCCTCCAAGCATGTTCCTAGCTCTCTGCAGGAGACTGACAGCTTCAGCTTCAGCAGGCACAAATGTAAGTCTGTCATCTACGTTCTTAAGGTAAACTGTTTTACATATTCTCCATACTCACTCGCCCCCTGCTTAGCTATTTGTCTTAGACCATAAATGGCTATGGAAGGTGAAGGACTATTTCCAAAGACATGCACTTTTATCCTGAACTCTGTAATTTCTATGTTGAGGCCATTATTTTACAACCAAAGGAACCTCAAGTAGTTGTGGTGATTTTCAGTAAAACATTTGCTGCACATCAGTAGTAACTGTAACTTGCTCTTTGCAGATATGTAGAAGGATACTTAACAGCATAAATATTAAAATCGGTAACTAAGAAGTACCTCATTCAATGAGATGCCATCATACTGAGCACTAGAATCAAAAACTACTCTGATCCGCCCTGGTTTTTGAGGGTGATAGACACAAAAGATTGGTAGGTACCAACTATCATCACTCAGGTTCAGTGATGAGACAGGTTCAGCTTTCATTTCAGGTTTTCTTGCAAAGGAGAGTTTTAGAACAAGGATTCTCTTCTGTGCTTGCTCCCTGTTGTTTGGCAGTCTAGGGTGTGGTGAGGTAATTGGTAGGGGTGCTACTCATAGCATTTATAATTCATCCAATAACATCTTCTTTTTAACTACATAAATGAACATATGATCTTCGATGGACATAGCAGGTCTCTCATCATTTGGAGCTCTAGTGAACACATTGTCATCTAGACCGTCCATGCTACAAGCTGTGGACCCTGAATGGCATAGTGAGGCATGGCTGTAGTTCACAAGCATTAAAGCTCTCTTTAACTCACATATAGCTGGTGCAGGGGCTGAATAGAGAAGCGCACCCATTAGGCAGCATGTTTGTTTTAAATGAGTTCACGTCAGCTGGTATGTGAGCTCCACCTAAGCATACTTCTACAACTATTAATCTAAACATTGTGCATAGGGAGGGTTATGGGGTCTGTTAATCTGCTCACACACCTTGTGCACCCTGAGAATACCTCTCCTAGCAAGAGGAGTATTTGGGCATTAGGATCAAGTGAAGGGATCTTGTCTGTTAAGGATTTCAGATGAGTGAAATGCTGTGTCATCCCAAGTGTTGGTATTTCTGAACTATTGTCAGGCATCATGTCATATTCAATGAGAGTGGGAAGTTTTATGTGTGTTTTTCCATCAATAGACTGAACAGTGAAGTTAGATGCCCTATGCCCCATTTTTTCCATAGTACCTGAGCATGTTTTCAGTGTGTAAGAAAATATTTCACTACTAATGGTAAACACATTAAAGAACTCTGACTTGGCTAGAGAACGATTACTTTGATCATCTAAATGCATATATTTTCACAGAACAGTCAGGTTTGTTAGAGGGGTATACAGTCACTAAACAAATCTTAGAACATGATCTGGGCCTTGTCCCTTCTGCACACACCTCTGTACACAGTTGATGGGGTAGGCTCATCTTCCTCCCTGCCTTGCTCTTTATTTGGTTACTGGGGTCTCTGTTGCCCAAGGAGCTGGACCTGGATGCAATGCTAAGGTATGCTGGTCCCTTCTGCACTTTCTGCATCTTATATTGACCTTGCAGTCTTTAGTAATGTGTTTGGTGGATGTAAAACATCTGAATCAGATAGCATTTTCTTTCAGGTAAGCTTTACATTCATCAATGTGCTTGCTTCTGAATCCACAACACTGACAGTGAGCATGTTTTTTTATGGATTGGGCATGAACTTCCTGGGTCCATGGCCTTTTTTTCAGAGTTGTTAAAGTGTTACTAAACCCACAACAGTACAATCAGTCTGTATATGCAGTAAAGCATGCTTGGTATACTCACTGTGGAACCTAAGGGGTTAATCATCTGCATTGTTTAAAAATGTTGTATGAACCTGACTTCTCTGATCCTCCCCTTCTTCTAGTGCCCCCCTCCTATTTCCTGATACAACATATCGTGTGGAGACACTCTGCACATACTTAGTTTGGTGTGTATTGCTATAGAGGTTTTTTTTTTCTTGGGAGAGTGCATGTGATCAGCACAGGGCCAATCAGCACTTTCCAGCACTGGCCTTCAGTCTTAGCTGCATTGACTCCCAACAGCAAGTCACCAAGTTCTCTTATAGTAACTTTAGGTTGTCTTAGGTAGAGACTTCATCAGAGCTTTGGGGCTGCCATTATATCTGGATCATGAATGTGTACAGACCTGATTTGCTTGGCCTGTCAAGATGACTCTGGTCTCAGCCACTTTGTTAGCAGATCTAGCACCTTTCTAGCTGTAAACTTAGATCTCTGATAATGTATTGGACAGTTGTCCTCAATGCCCAATAGTTTCTCGAGGTGATCATCAAATGTAGCCCGGTGCTCACTTTGATAGGTCAGTTGTCCCTGAGGATCCTAAAGGGCCATTTCCAAAGGAGGATACATGATAACCCTTCTAACTTTATGGATAATGAGGGTTAATAACATCTTTGCTTTCTTGAACATGTACCCTTGGCACTAGGACATTTTCAGTTAATGTGAAAAGTGGGAGAGAGTATAGGCATATCTGGAGAGGGATGTTGGTATGTCAAGTCAGGAAACTGTGGGATTGTGTTGGAGATAGGCTTGATAGAAGCATACTCTGTCTTAACTTCTGGTCTGGATCATGGTTCTGTACACATTCCTACGTCCTTTGCCCTGGATCATGAGTTGGTATTTCCTCAAGATCTTGGAGCAGATCTCCTGAACCAACCTCAGTTTCATATACCACAACATTTGCTGCTGCTGCCCTTTGAGTCTTCAGCACATGCATACTAGCTTCTAGCTCTGCTTTCTGCCTCATCAAGTCAGCTTCCTTTTGAGTGTACAAGACCTCAGCTAGCACTGCTTACGCCTTTTGCTCTCCTTCTGAAGCCTGCAGAACCTCCTGACAATCTGCTGGTATACACTGAATATCTAGAGCCAGGCATGTGAGACCTTGTCTCTGAAGTTTGATGTGGAATGTCCACACTCCTACCTGGATCCATGATATATGAATTAAACACCTCCCATCCAGCCATTGTGTATAAACGGCTGGACGGTGGCAGTGCAGAGTCGGGTGGCCGTTTATAAACGGCCTCCCTGGCCCCTGCTTGTGCGCGCTCCCTGTGAGCGCGCAGCACCGCGATCTGGTGTCCGCTGTGTCCTCCGGACACAGTGCAACACCGATCGTCGGACGGGACCTCTCTGCGAGGTCCCGATCATGTGATCACTGATTGGCCAATCAGTGATCACATGCAGAGTAGTAAGCAATATGTCACTTCTGACATCATTGCTTACTACGTGTGAAATCTGTAAATGATCACAGAGGTCAACCATTTGACAAGCTGTGACCAATCACAGCTCTCACAGTATTTCTCAATGGCTGCAAGAATGCAGTCAGAGAGAAGGAGAAATTATTGCTTTTACAGCCTTTATGGGTGTAAAAGCAATCAGTGTAAAAACAATTCTTCATCACCCCCTACAAGTAGTACAGTGTCACCATGGTGACACTGTACTGCTAGGGTGACAGTATGTTAAAAAAAAACCCCATAAATAATAATATAAAAAAAATAAAAAATAAAAATATAAAAATATATGTTTAAAAATTATAATTTTTGGTTATAAACTAATTTGGGTTAATTTGTTTTTTACTAAAAATATAATGTAATAACCTTTTGCCAAGATTTATGATGAAATATTATTTATTTGCAAAATTTTATAAGAAAAACACTTTTTTTCAAAATGTTTAGACTTTTTCATTTACATAGCAAAAAAAAAATAAAAATCTCAGTGGTGAATAAATACCTCCAAAATAAAGCTTTATCTGTCTCAAAAAAATGCTAAAAAATTCATATGGGTACAGTGTTGCATGACCGCGCAATTGTTATTCAAAGTGTGATAGCGGTGAAAGCTGAAAATTGGCCTGGACAGGAAGGGGGTGAAAGTGTCCGGACTGGAAGTGGTTAAAGTAGAGTACAGTCCCAATCACAGTTTTTGTGTGGATTCTTTCATTTTCAAATGAAGCTTCAAAGCATTTCCCTCAACTGTGAATGGACAATGAAAGCAAAAGCAGCAGACTAATGAGCTCATCTCTCTGTCACTCTTCTCTCTTCTCCTATCAGCATGTCCTTTCTTACTGCAGGAGCACTGCAATTCAGATGACTGGTTCCTTGTGCGACTTATTCCTCTTCTAGTCTGACCAGGGGCGGACTGACAACTCATGGGGCCCCCGGGCAATAGGGGATCATGGGGCCCCTGTGTCCTTGCCCAAACTCAAAAAAGCCTATGAAAAAGGTACCAGGGGCATCTCATGGGGCCCCCTACTGACCCTGGGCCATCGGGCAGTGCCCGAGTTTCCAAATGGTCAGCCTGCCCCTGAGTCTGACCACTGTTGTATGGGTCATTGTGACAGGTGATTATGAAGTACATTTAAGCTACTTATGTAGCTGATATTTAAAAAAAAAATAAGTTAGTGATGCATTAATACATTTATATGTGCATTAATTTTTGTCTTTTATATTTTCCTCGAGTTCAACTTTAAACTTCTTTAAATTATTATTTATGAGCTACTTTGTTTATCCCATTTACCTTGTGTCTGTATTTAAGCATTCCCAAACTCTTTTTCATCCCATTTGATTGGATGAACAAATGCATATTATGTAAAGCCTTGGCCATCATATACACTGCAATGTATACTCTGTATGAAATTGGTTCAAAGCGAAAATTTAAATTTTGCTTAATTTCCTTTAAAGAGCAGTAATGAAGGGGTTTGCGAAATGTTAAAGGGATAAGAACATTCTTTAATGTATTATTTGATAGGCATTTATGTTCAGTTATCAAAATATCTTCCTGTAGGGGGTCATTCTGGTGACTAAATGGATGAATGCTGTCAAAAAAGTCTTGCATTCCAGGTACAGATAATACGGGATTGGAGAAAGCCAAAGTGCAATTACTGATATAGTAAAATTCATCCGATAACGGCCAAGAACTTGGAAGAATAAATGTTTTCCCTATGTGATAGGTAACAGAATTATACAGAAACCTGAAAAAAGTTCTGCTAACTGTGCCACAAATAATGATTACTTCAGTGGTTGAAGTCTGAAGTTTTTCAGGTATTTTATTATAAATTTTCACAGACACTAGAATCCTGAACTCAATACAAATTCCATGATTTGTCAGATGTTTGCTCAGCTGCTGGAGTTCTCTCTCTCCGTATTCATCATCTGATGTAAAGATTCCAACCCAGTTCCACTTAAATTTATTCAACAATTTTACAATAGCTTCATATTGAATTTGATCATCTGGAACTGTTCGAAAGAAGTGTGGAAAAAGTCTTCGATCACTCAGCAAGGTATCCCTTGCTCCATAAACTAACCTAGAAGAGCAAAGATCTACAAATTACTCACAATCAAAATATAAACTTCCTTCCAGTTTCTTTTGTGTCCTATATGTAACACCCCTATCCTCGGATAGCTACATTTAGTGTATGGCTTTGCTTTTTAGGCCTGATCAGGTTTATCCCTAAACCTGGTGACTGAATGCGTCTGTCTCTGGTGTCTGTCTCTGGGAGAATGTTCCAGAAATAGCGTGGGAGGGTCAATCCCTGGGTTATGAATAGTTATCCAAACTTAGCCAATCCCTGGGAGACTGGCCCAAAAAGCATGGCTGGGGGAAAGATAAATATTTGGGAGGATCTGATCAGAGCTCTCTTTGCTTTGGGACCTCCCCCCAGGAAGGAACATGTGTATGTCACTGCTACTAGGCCTCAACAGGTGTTATGGCTGAGGGCCTGAAGGAAGCACAGTTGGGGAGGTGGGTGCCTTTTGCTGGTAGCATCAGGTATTTCTTGAAGGTAAGTCACTAGATGTTGCTACAAAGGTGTCAGGATCGGGATCTGAACACACAACCTCTGCTGCATCCTGCAGTAATTCTTCCTGCTGAGCTATCGGAGATCCTGGACAGCCCCCTGTTTGAGCACTTTGAACAACCGTGCTTTTCTCTTGTATCTGGTGAACCTTGAACTCTTTGCTTCTCCCATGAACTTCCTGATTTAAGACATGTATCTGTGCTGTTTGCCAGATTATTGTGCTCTCTCCAGCCAATATCTTGCTCCCTTGCAATGGTGACCTTTGGCTTGTTCCTCGACTACACTTCTGCTTGATCCCATCCTGCAACCATTCGTTATCCACCTTTGGCTTGCTCCTCAACTATGCTTCTGCTTGATCCCGACCTGCAACCACTTGTTACCAACCTTTGGCTTATTTACCGACTACACTTCTACTTGATTCCTACCTTCTATATCAGCTGCTTGACCTCAGCTTGATCACCTCTAGGTGGGGGCGATCCTGAGGACCACGACCTGGTACTAACATGCAGCAAAACCCATCTCCACCATCAGGAGCTCTGGTGTTAGTGTTTAGTCCTTCAGGTGAGCCTTTGTCATGCACCAGGGTGACCTACTGCTACGCCTATTCAGCTAGTTGGTGGGAGCCTCTGTACTGCTATAGCTACTGGTCCCCAAGCCTGACTCCTAGCCTTGACAAAAGGACTGTAACTGCTTGCATAGGGTCTCATATTGACTGGCTCTCCTCTCTTTTTTCAACATCATTTTTGTGGCTGCTATTAAAGGGTCAAATACTGCCAGAACAGGATTTTTCAGGGAAGTTGTACTCCAAGATTCTGTGCCTTGAGTATCCTAAAACCCCAATGCCTTCTCTCTACATTTTTTCAAGATCCGCAATAAATCTTCAAAAGACACCTATAGACTCAGCTTGAGTTTGTCGGTGTGCTTCTGGGACTGAAAACTGGGTGGGCAGCCTCTGGACCGGTAAGGGGCCCCAATTTATTTTCAGTGGCCCCTCCAGGGTTTATTACTACATTTGCATTTATTAATATGTTTATTGTAGGCTTCTGTGTAGTAACTAAAGGCTGTATTTCTATAGTTTATACTATGGATAGATGGCCCACTGTGAGGATTTCACAGCTGGCCACCTTTGATCATTGGCTGCCTATATGCTCCTCTCCATGCATGCTTCTACTGGCTTTCCGCCCACTGTCTCTTACAAGTCTCCAGTCTATCACTCTCTATCTCTGTCCTGTTCTTTTCCATCTCTATGTTTCTATTTTATGGCATGTGCTGCAATGTCAACTGATACCTTATCAGAATCCTTCTTCTCAGATATTGCCTTGTAAGTTCTGAGTCCTCCTAACTTGTCTAGATTTGTCATGGTCCATTTTTTTTGGGTATTATTTATTTCTTTATTTTCTTTGCTTTAGGTGTCCTACCTTTCGCTTCTTCAAAACCAAAGTGTGCTGCTTTAAAGGATAAGTTCACCTTTGGAACATGTCACATGTTCCACCCGTTTTTAGGGTGGAACATGTAACATGTTCCCATAGCTGCAGCCGCGCCCACTGCCCCCCACCCCCCTCCCTCTCACAGATACTTGGAGGAGAAGTTTCTCCATACTATCTGTCAGATTTGGAAACAACATGGTCGTGCAAGGCTCCATCCACATGGCCGCGTCACTCATTCACAGTGTTCTATGAATGAGTGCCACCAAGTCCCTGCACCCTTAGCAGCTGTCGACTTGTAGTTTTCAAAGAACTACCACGGCACTGTGGAGCACCGTGGTAGTTCATTGAAGCTTCCTGTAAGAATATCTGCTTGGCTGTACATCCCGTATGGCAAGCAGATATTCTGACAGGTCTACAGGAGACCTGCATGGCATCAGCGATCTATTGATTGCTGGTGCCACGCTTTCCAGGCTCTTTTAGACAAAAATAATAATTTTTGTACCTGCAAAAAAATGTGCATTTCTTATTTTTGTCCAAAAGGTGAACTTATCCTTTTAGTATACCTAGTGATGGAGCCTAAAGCACTGGAGTAGGCCTCTAATACAGGTATGGCTCAGAAGCCCTGTTAAAGTGACAGGTATTGTCAGAGTACAGAGTGGCATGAGTGCCTAGCAAGTCTTTTCGCTGACAGATGCTGATGTACATCAGGATACACAGGAATGCCTGGATGGTGCACACTGGCAGAAGGACTGGAGCCGGTGTCTTTCATGTATCAGCTGGTTCAGATGCAGGATGAAGAACCAAAGGCAGGGTTAGACCATCCAGGTCATCAGCTAAAGAGCAGATCAGGTACAGACAGCAGGTAGAAGAGTAGTAAGGAGTCAGGCCAGGCTCAATAACAGCAAGGCAGATGAGCAGAAGGAACAGGCAGAAGCATAATCCAGAGCAGGGGCGGACTGACCATTTGGAAACTCGGGCACTGCCCGAGGGCCCGGGGTCAGTAGGGGGCCCCATGAGATGCCCCTGGTACCTTTTTCATAGGCTTTTTTGAGTTTGGGAAAGGACACAGGGGCCCCATGATCCCCTATTGCCCGGGGGGCCCCATGAGTTGTCAGTCTGCCCCTGATCCAGAGGCAAGACAGGGGTTGGTACAGGTGGCGTACAGGCAGAGTAAGG